AGAACTCCACAATACTTGACAGAGATAGTTTCCAAAACATAAAAAAAATCTTACAAATACATTTATTGAAACATGATATATAATAGCAAATATTCAGGAAATTCACTAAAGAGCCATAGAAAAGGTAAAGAAGCAGTAAGCTAGTATAGACATGAGGGAAACAGAGTTAGGAGTCAGCTTTGCCACGCAACTGGCTGAATGACCATTAACCGTGTTCCTTAATGTTTCCAAGTCTAACTTCTTTTATCTGAAATGAAGAATACTAATAAGGCCACCATATTTGGTTGTTATGCAAATAAAAGCACTTAGAACATTGTTGCTACACAGGAAGCGCTCGCTACATCAGGAAATTTAGCATGCAGCTGTCTAATTCAACATGCAGCATCCACATCATGGGCCACCTAAACCACCCTTACCTATTTTTCTTCCTTTTTTTTTTTTTGGTAGCAGGGATTGAACTTGGGTTCTTGCGCTTGTGCAGCAGGCGTGGAAACCACTGAGTTAAATCCTTGGTCCAACCCTTACCTATTTTTAAAAATGCATTCCATCTGGACAGATACCCACTGGGTCCTAAAGATACTGACAGAATCGTTCATAACTGTTAACACCACTGATCTCATGAAAGCTGGATCTCAGTAGCAACACAGAAGCTATTAACATGGTTTTTGTTCATCTTTGCATTTGTTCACTCATTAAAATGAGCATTCATTTTTGTGATATTAAAAAATAATAAGCTTTAGATAATAAATTTTCAATAATAGTAAGTTGGGATGAAATAAAAGGCCAGGAACCAAAAGCAGAACCATGAGATACAAATGCAGGATGGGACTGTAAGTTAGAAAAATTTAGAAAGAACCCAGAGTGCAAAGGGCTGCAATTCGAAAAGCTGCCCAACCTTGCAGGGGAGCTGGGCTACCTCCCACAATCCTCCGGGAGGTGCTGAACATTCATAAGCACAGTTGTGAAAAACACCATCATATTTGTGTAACTTGAAGAACTCTCATACAGGGAAATTATCACACGTATTATTTTTAAGGTGTGTAGTTGTGTTCAATAACCTCGTGTTTGTAGCTTTGTGAAAACTGGATTTTGTAGGGAAACATCAACAGAAACCATCAGTCTGCCCCAAACCACCCCTTGCTCCCCTCCCTGGGTTGAAGTGGGAAGAGGAAAGAGCCCTCCAGGCAGCGGAGATCACCCACGGGCTGGGAGGCTCAGTCGCAAACCCGCTGCTTCAGTCTGGGCCCCAGAGCTCCAAGCAGCTCAGACCACCGCCCCCTGCACCCCCAGCACAGACTCCACGCAGGTGACCAGAAACCTCTCTGGAGAATCGCTCTATTTCTCTCCTGAGAAAACAGGAAACAGGGTTGGCTACCAGGGCAGAATCACTTAGAAAGCTTCACTCCTCTAACTACAGGTTCCTTTGTGTCTCAAAAGCACGCTTCGCTGCATGACAAGCGCATAGGTGGAAGCTCGCTGCGTAAGGAACACGGGACTTGACAAGTCAGCCTGCACTGAGCTGCGGGCTTGAGCACTGCAGTGCGTGCCCCTTTAAGAGCTTGTACTTCTTCTGCTCCTGTGGAACTGCCCAGGGCTCTCTCACCAGCTAGGGCTCTGCCAACCTGCAAGCGCCAATTATTCCCGCAGAAAAGGGGAAGGGATGAATGCATTTCTTCTCAGAGATACTCTATCTAGATGTTGACATTTTATGTATCTCAACCTCTACGCTAATCTCACTTCAAGATGGTAAAACCACTGGCTCCAAAAATCTCCCAGTTTAATCCACTATAAGGTGGGGCCGGCTTTAAGGTGTAGGTAATTGTTCTGGGTCACATGATCCCTTTCCTCCCCACTGGACTCCCTAAGGGAACAACAATGTGAATTCAACAACTGGCTGCATGATCAAGGTGTAGTCAATGGTGACACCAAGGGAGAAGAAGCTCATTCACTTGGCACTGTGGCCCCTCCTTCCCTCATCCAGGGCTCCTCCCAACCTAGGAAGCTTAAAGCCCTAGGACAAAGTCCCTGCCAGGCATCCTGGCCAGGCCTCTGCCTACTCTCATACCCCGAAGGTGTGTGGCTCTCCAGGTTTTGACTGTTCAGCTGTAAACTTTTAAAGAACAAAGTCTCAACTGAATCCCATATGTATCTGGTTTTTGGACAAGAAGACATTTTTCTGCTGCCCAATATTTTTCAGCAGTAGGAAAAATCCTGATTCGAATGGCACAACGTTGAAAACTCTACTCATAACCTATATTCTAGGATGGTATAACATAATATGATATAATATATATATATAAAATAGAGACTCTAATTGTCTATAATCTGGTATAAAATAAAATCTATCTGGGAGATAGTAAAGCACTTAATGTACGGAGTTACTAACTGGTCTGTAAGTCTGTGGGATAGTTGTTAATTTGTGACCTTGGGCATTCCATAAAAATGAATTAAGAAAATGTAATAATGTTGGGCTCTAAGCACCATGCCTGCCACACAATGAATGCTCAATAATTTTTTCATCATTGTTGTCGCTGTGACCATTCTCACCAACAGTATCACTATTTTCCTCACACCAACGAAGTGCTGGATGAAGAACTCATAGTGTACCTCAGCAAAGAACATACACACCTCAGGGGAGTAAGGAAGGCACAGGTATTTTACATTACAACACCAATGGTTGTTTGACACTCTATGTATTTCCATGAGAACTATTTTCTTCAAGGGTCTGGCAGCTCAATAAATGACATAAGGCAGGTTACACGGGATATGTGTCTCTTGCCTGAGCTGCCTGCAGACCCCTGGCCCATCTGGAAATGAGCACATGGGATGAATGTACACATCTCCCCACCCTCCTGGACAGAGCAATTCATGCTATAAGGTACTAATCGTTTGTTATGCAAATTAATGAACAAAACTCACACATTGGTGATCCTGTGGTACAACCACCACATTCTCTGGTCTGCATATCAGCCTCGAGTTGCCTCAGGGCTGAGCCCAGCCCCATGGGTGCCCTGAGGACATCTACAATCTGTCCCAAGGTTGCAGTTCCAATACTCTGTGCAGGCAGCTTTTCTACATAAAATCTAGGAGCTGGTACAAAAGGATCCTGCACTTGGCTGCCTAGTTTCCCTCAGGCGGGCTTCAGGACACAGACGACCCAGAACACTGAGCTCTCTCTCCCTAACCTCCAACTTCTGTCCATGCAGAACTGGCCCACTCTTACCTGGTGTTAATCCACTAGGGAAGGTTCCCCGAAGTACTGGGTATGGCATCAGGAGCTGCTCAGAAAGGCAAGTCCTAACAAAGGCCTTGGATCTTCCTTCTTCTCCTCCCCAATGGTAAGGCTGAACTCTACCGTGGAGATCCGCCCCCAGCTCCTTTTAATAAAATTTTTTTTGAGCCAGAGTCTTGCTAAATTGTCCAAGCTGGCCTTGAACCTGCAATCCTCCTGCCTCAGCCTCTAGAACAGCCAGGATTACAGGACTGAGCCACCATGCTCAGATTCTTTCTCTTTTCTGTTCTAAATGATCATTTCTGAAAGGTGTGTGTGTGTGTCCTTTCTGTTAAAGGACCAAAATGATTTTCTAGAGCATCTTTACTAGTTATATCCAGTATGTGACACAATACAGCAAATGAGATCTGTGGGTATATTAGAAGAGCACAATAAATATTTGCAGCTACAATATTTACTTTTATTTAATCACACACACTCACACTGAAAAGCCAGCAGGGCATCCTAGCCACACCTTCTCCGGCTTCACACCACAGGACTGCTCCCGTAGAGGGAGGTTTAATACTAATGGGCTGTGGCATCATTTTATTTCATTAACCCCCTCCCCTGAGGTTGGCAGGAGCCTTCTCCCTATGCCTCACCAGAAAGCAAAATCATGGAACCTGAGCATCAGCCTGTCCATCCTGCTCCCTCCACATGTCCTTCCCTCCAAGCAGGCAGAGGGTTGTGCCTCCTAGAGGGCTCTGCCCTTTGAGAGAAAAATGCATGCCTTTAAAATGTGTAATATGCCAACCACACTGTAATGGCAGATGCACTGTAGAAAAAGGACAGCTTTCATTCCTATACATTTACATGCATTAGAGAAGTCCATCACGGAAGCACAAGCTTACTGAGTCAAGGACATTCTGGTCAACGTTACTGAATTTAAGCAATATAGTAGGTGCTCAGCACTTAATGCATTTCCACTTCAGGCTCCTACCAAGCTGACAGCACTTAGGTAACTTCCAGTTATTCCTAGGGTTGGCTCCACCTGGTCCCTGGGCTGGGCACTGTCAGGGGACATGGGATTAACCAAGCAGAGCCAGTGCTCTCCTGGGCTCCAGACTCAAGAAAAGCCCATCAGGAGTAAGAAAATCGCAGCAGCGTTTTAGAAATAGTAGAACCAGAATATATGAGTTTTCTGAGATTTCCCCTGCTGGTTGTAACTCTTGACAGCCCGACTGTATTTCATCCTCTCATTCAACAAGTCGCTCTGTCCCCAAAGAGTTTGCGCCCATTCATTTGAAGAAGTCTTCTTCACACTCTGCAGCTATGAGGGGACACTGGGTGAATCAGAGCCACGAGGGTGTGCATATGAATGCGTGCTTGCGCTCACCTGCATGCTGACAGGGAGCTGTAAGACTTGGAAAGGAAGCTGAGTGCTGCACTGCTAGGGAGCCTGGGGTGTGCAGATCCAAATGTTGTGTAGATCCCTCCCACAGAGGGTCTTTCAGTTCCCCTTCTGCCTTAAAAGCTCCCCTGTCCGTGAGGACCCCGGAAGCCAAAATGCCTCAGCACAGCCTACTGAACATTACAGTGCAAAGCTCCACCTCACTGTAAGAGGGCGTCTATAAAGGTGATCCTCTGGCCTGCCAAGAGAGGAAGCCCAACCCAGGGAGAGAAACAGAGTGGGAAGAGGAGGGACACACGCATGCAAGCAGAACCCTCCTTGGCATCCTGCATAAACAGCACAGTCACCAGTCACCGCTGGCTCAGGTTACCCACGTACCTCCACAGTGAGCTCTCGGTGATGCTGCCCAGGTTATAGTCATACAGCTTTGTCAGAATGAGAATCACCTGAAGACAGAAGAAGAGGTCATGGTTAGTACCAAACAATGACCACCTCTTAGAACCGAAATGGCCCACAGCAGGCAGGGCTTCGGCTTCCTCTAATGGGCACTTAAGGTAACTGAATGAGTTGCGAGAGCACTCGCCGTACCCACTGGGGAAGGGCCAGCAGGCCATCTACTGAGGAGCTGGCCTTCCATTCAGACTGACCCTGTCATGCCTGGGAGAGTTACCCAGGGCTCCATGCATTTTCCACTCTGGGGGTAACACTCTGGGGCAGGCCGGCCCACAGAGCTGTCCAACACGCACCCACAGGTGCCGGGCCCTTCCCAGCCTTCTGATGCTCTGTATCTCCCTCTATTCACAGGCACGGTGAGTAAATGCTACTTCCTTTCCAGAAAAGGTTGCCGTGAGGGGTGAAATGAGGTAATAAATGCAAATCACATCTAGGTTAGCATGTGGATCTTTCCTTTCTCCTTCTTCATAAGTGTGGCATTGCTTGTTTTTTTCTGCCTTTCCAGTTTCTAGGAAAGTCAGTGGATAGAAGCCCCTAAGCAGCACTGGCTAAACAACAGCATTTTTAAGCGAGGAAATCCAGGTTTTAAAGGATCCTGAAGCTTACAGAATTTGGGGGATGGAGAAGCGTCCATAAGAGAGAGAATATAAAGTTCAAATGAGGAACAGTCCCAAGAAGGAAGCTGTGAATATGAGGGATGTCATTAAGTTCCCAGCAAATCCTTTCCTGATATTTAACCTATCACTACTTCCAATCTTGCTCAGAAGAAATCAGATGATTTAGTCAATTCTTTCAAATATCAAGAAACATGTATGAAGAGTCCAGAATTTTTCCTGATGTCAGTAGATGCAATAGTTAGTCCTAGTGTCAACTGAAATAAGAAACACCCAGCAGAGTGGTGTGGTGGAGTTCTGAGTGTGTCTGGGTGTGTGAGTAACAGTTACTGGGGGAGGAAAACACACCCCAGTTGTGTGCCCCAGCCAATCCACTTGGAGCCTGGATGGAGGCAAAAGGGGAGGAAATCAGGTCTCAGGTCTCTTCTTCGAGGAGCTCCAGTTTTCACCATCACCTTTGGACTTCTGCTCCAGCCTGCCAGCACACCCTTCGGCTTCCTAACAAGGACTGGCACAGACTGCAGCAAGAGCGCTAGGACTCTGACTTGTAGCTGATCCCTCCAGCTGCCAGCCACACAGTGGGCCATCTGCATACTGATATCCTCCAGTGAACCCTGACATAAAGAACAGAGTGAGGGGAGCCCTGCTCCAACTAGGACTGAATGTGCTCATTAAAGGAAAGGAAGTTGGAGAGCAGACCTCTTCGTTCCCCATCCACCTGAAAGCCAAGCTCGTTGCAGACCTAGAAGATGCTGGCAGCACAGAATCCACCTGTGCAGGAAGTACAGGAGCCCCAGGACACGCAAGTAGATCCCACAGTGGTGCAGCCTGGCCACTGGTTTCCCCAGGCCTGCTCACTCTTACATGAGGAAAGAACATTTGGAGGCTGCTCAGCTTTTCTGTTCAAGCTCTTATTTTCCTCCTGGTACTCCTATCCTAGAAGTTTTGGCCCAGCCCTACTCTTTCCAACTCAGCAGAAAAATGCTAACATCGATTTCCTGTGCAGGCCAAGGGATCCTTGGAGCTACAGTGAGCACAGAACATTCTAACCTTGAGTTCGGAGGCAGCCAGCTGCCCAGGACAGCCGCCTACCACTTCCCCTCTTCTGGCCAGCCTTGGATGGACAAAGGCAAGTGCATCACAGCAGATTCTCAATGCTCTTTTCTCAGCAAGCAGACTGGACTCTGTGAATTCAGATTTGCTCTGAGTTTAAGGAAATAGCAAACACGGGAACCTGAAGGCCAATAGAGGTCCCCGAGGGTCCGTCTGCACGGCCACCCTCCGCTCACTGATCCCTCCAAACTCACTTGCCTCTCTAGCAGACTGTGGGTGCCTGTGAGGCGAGCACCTTGTGGGCACATCAGCTGCACTCCTGCCCTGCCATGGGGGCATATGCTTCGCAGATCCAGGTGCCAATTAAGTTGCCTTAAGTGCTAAACTTCAATCACTGCCATCCCGGGAAGGCTGATCAGTGGCAGCGGGGTGGCTGTTTGTTTGAAGTCACAGAAGGATGTTGCTGCACCACCACAGCGCCAATTTTATGGAACAGGCTTAGAAACCCCCACCAGGAAAACGGGCGTGTGGGCGTAAGACATTTTGAGGTAGTTGCTCTCTTGATACAAGACAGCAGTCACTTAAATAATGAAATTGGGCTGCTCACGGGCCCTGTCTCCCAGTCATCTGCAGAGGGAATACCATACCGAAGCCGGGAAGGAAGCCTTTAACCCAGCGCACACTGACAGTGGTTCAGCAGGGGCAAGGGAGAAAGCTGTTCTTTGCTTCTGTTTGCCAGGTTAGTAAAACTAAAATGCCAGCAACACACTCAGGCAGTTTATCGATACTGCGGCAGCAGGAGCATCCTTTATGACATTTCAAAGCATATCTGCTTGAATCAATCTATTTAATCTTTCTGTTTTCAGAACCAGAGCAAGAATGAAGGGAGAACTGCTAACCTTTAGCTACATTTTCAATCAATTATTTGAGGCCTCTCTTCTCTTCTTTTTTTCCCTTTTTTTGCTTATGCACGTTATAGAATCTACTACCATACTCCTGGATAGGAAGGGATGCACCATTATACAATAGGCCTGTTTCATTGTTTGTTTCAGTTTTTCCCTTTTGATTAATTAGCAATACTATTTAACAGCACCTGCTAGAGGACAGAGTGCAAATCCCTACTCTTTCATGAGAAAAAAATTTTAAAATGCAATCACCTGCCAATTCTGGTTCTATTATCTATAACTTCATGTACTTTTCAAACTTTTAACAAAGAAAAATCAACAGGCCTGTTCAATGTAGTAACATGTGACATGTACTGGAATAATATGTTGTTTTAGTCATTCTATAAAAATTTTCATGCTAAAACTTTATGAGTTGAAGTATAGACCATTTCCTTGCAGATTCACTAGGAGCAAGGCTGTTTTGTAGACACACACAGAATGGAGTACTTCCAGCTTCCTGCTTATTGCTACACCTTGTTTCACGGCAGCGCCAAACCACCCTTGACTCAAAACAGAAAGTGGTGACCAACAGCTTTTTCGGCCTCCTTTCCAAATCTTAAGATATCGTCTTTAAATACTGCACTCCAAATATCCACGGCTTGAGGACCCCAGCTGCACTGCACTAAGACACCCGCATGCAGTCACTTCTGGGCATTCCCCAGGGACCCATCTCAAGCACCCCACTCCGTCTCAGAGGGGCTCTCATGCGGGAAGTCTGCCCTAGTCTCTTGCTGTGGCTACTTCCAGGCGACTCCAAGGCTGCCTAATGCTCCTGAAAGAAACTTCACCTCATTCACACTCATGGGGTGCAAGTCCTCCAGCATCCTTCACCCTTTGCAGGGCCGGTGGGTGCCAGGCACTCCCAGTTTCTGTGCAGCAGATGCAGAGTCTCCGAGGAGTAGCAAAGGCTTCCTCCCCAGTTCTGAGGCAAGATTTCATAACCCCAATTCTCAAACCAGCACTGCTTTGGCTGAGCGCCCTCAGCCAGTACTGAAAAATTCCACCAACCCTGGCCTTCCTCCCCTCTGTATGAGGGCGAGAAACCACTACAAAGGACTCTGTGAAAAGAAAATGCCAGTTCACTCCCCCTTCTTCTAGTGGCAACCTCCTTCTGCACTGGATTACAAAACAAAATAATTCATGGAGATAAACAGAGAAGCTAGTATGTGGAAGACTAAACAGAACATTCTACTGTAAATCAGCAAAAGCCAGTGAGAAATGCTTCGGCATCAGAATACCACAGCAGGCTTCTTCTCGGGTATGTGTTAAAATAAAGTAATATGGCAGCAGTATTCGTTAACACACAGGCAGTCTTGGTGGTGCCTATTAGTAGTCATGTAACAACTCTCACGATGACAGCACTTTTCATTACTAATATAAAATATATTAAGGAATGAAACCTCAAACATTTAAGGAACTCCTAAAGCACCCTCTTGGAAATTTGAATCTACAGAGCATCCTTTCGAAAACGTCTATATTAAGTACAGACTGGTGAGAACCAAAATTTGTTCTATACTTTCTAAATAGCAGCTCTGGAAACTTCCATTTCTTATCTGAAGAAGAGCCACAGTTTTCCTCTGATCTTTTGCTAAATTAAAGAATTCTCTCCACAGGAAGGGGTGTAGAAGTAGAGATGTCTACAAGAGCGAATCAAACCATATGGTGAATCTTTTCTTAAAAAAATTACTGTACAAGACACATTGCTGCTAATGCCTCTAAAAATATTCCCCCCTCACTTTCCCAAAGTCAAAATGACTATGAAAAGTAAGCATTCTGAATCAGTGCAGGACATCCAGGCTGTCAGGACTATCAGGACAGCACAACTAAAGACACTCATCAAAGAGGCCTCCAGAACCACTTCATAAAGTGGCAGGAACAACGGGTAAAGTGTGTTCAAAGGGAGTGTAAGTACTTTCAGGGGAATTAAAGGCAATGTGTCTTTTATTGTAATACATTTTTTAAAAGGTACACATTTAGCATAGTTTTCAATCATACAGAGGTAGGACAGAAGAAATAAAAGATGAATAGAAAGGAGACAAGGTAATCGTCTAAAAACTGTGTGTTTCGGAAGACTGCAACTTCTGGGGCCCAGTCAAGGTGACGCAGCTCACTCATAGCAGCATTCCCTCGGTAAAATTCAGGGTCCTCACCTTCCAGACCCATCATGCCCCCAAATTCCTCAGAAATGATGAAAGTCCGTAAATCAGCTTACTTGAGAAAAGTAAAGAGCAGGAAACTGATCCTAAGATAAAGGAAGAAATTCAGAGAATCCAAAGAATGTTTAAATTATCTGTCTAAAAAGCAAAGACTTTCTCAGAATTTCCACCCCTTCAGGAGAACCACAAATGTTCCCTTTTCCAGGAAATAATGCTCCCTATTTCT